TGTGTGTGTGAGCGTGTGTGTGTGTGTGTGTGTGTGTGTGTGTGTGTGTGTGTGTGTGTGTGTGTGTGTGTATGAACAAATATGTACCACATGCATGCAAAATCTGACAAAACCTCCTACTGAGGACATTTAAAGATGTCATCAGTTTGAAAATTGTCTTAAATAATGTAAAATATAAGTATTATAAATTATAGTAATTATTGAGAGTTTTTAATTTATAGGTTAAATTTACAGCTGTAATAAAAACAATTTAGATGTCTATGGTATGTCCCCATTTAAAAGTAAAATGTGTGTGAATGTGAATCCAATTAAATACACTCTGTGTGTGCGAGTTAAGTCAAATAGATCCTCTTACACATGTCCATGCTTGCCCCTTATCTGAAGCATTAATTATGTTTTCTTTTAATTAGTGTAAGTTCTTAATTAGTCCATTCATTAAGCATTCTGATCTCGTCCAGTGAGGGATTAGTCAAACTGTGGGAAGCTCAATTGAATAGTAAAGGAGCTTTTATATCAACTAGGATATTTTTGTATTGTTATTGTTAAATAGACATGTGGTCTATTTGTTTAAGCTCTCTAGTTTAACATGGAAAAGTGCCAGTCTGTTGATATGCTTCCGGTTTAATTTCATTTTAACACGAGAACTACGCCAGCACTTTTATTGTTAAGGTCAGATCTCGTTTTAAAGGCTGGCACCGGGAAGCGGCACAAAGTTTGGCCAACTTTAGTTATGTGTCAACTAGACTATTAGCATCTTCTTGAGAATAAGTCTGCCTTGCTTTCTGCAGCTGGATGAGCCAGACTACTGAAAACTGAGCAGGCGTTATTGACGTATAAATGTGTCTATACATGTGTATGTATTCAGCATGCTAGAAAGTTTTGTTCAGAATAACTCATATTTGTGATTTAGTTTCAATAATACATTAGTGGTCTGTTTTCATTTGAGACTGCATGTTCTCTTATTACTTTGAACATTATCACAGAAGATCAAATATATTACAAATATTTTTTTAAAGCCTTAAACCAAACCAGCTAGCTCCAAGATGGATCATAACATTACAACATTATAGACAGGAATGAATTACTCATCCCATGAATCATTATGAATCATATAATTCAGGGTTTCCCAACCAGAGCTTTATGATTTGATGAAAAGCTAATAATTGCGTTAATTAAGCACTGCATTCATTTTAATGTGTTTAATGTGAATTTGGGAATGCGGTGTGTGCTAGGTTCACTTTATTTACATTCACATTCACATTGCAATAATAAACTACAGCATTTCACCAGTGGTCTGTTAAAATGGTCTGTTAGAGTTTGATGTTAAAAGCTCAAGGGTTTGAAAGTGAAAAATGTAATTCAATATTTAATTTGACTACTGTAACTTGAAGTTTCCCTTAGCAGTCGAGTCTTTGTTCTTTGTGTCTGGGTGTTTCATCCGTAGACATTTTATATGAAATTAAATAGCAGTTTAAATAGCAATCGTAGTATATGACAGAATAATCACAATAAAAATAAAAATAAAAGACTGTTTACTTGCATGTCATCTGACCATCAGCCGATATCAGAGAACTGTGAACATACAAATGTTAAATTATTGAAATATTTACTTTGACAAAAAGGAAGAAAAAAAAAAGTTTAGGAAATATATAGGGAAAAATAAACACAAGGATGCTAGGATGTCTATGTAAACATCTAGAAAAAAAAGTAATAATATAAAACAAGATTAATTTACATAATTACTGTTTCATTATCCTTTCTAAAGACTGGTTGGAAATTGTGAGATTAATCATAATTATTTAGTAATTTTTATTTTTATTATTTATTTTTTTTTTTAAACATAGAGAATGTAGACAGACAACCAGCCATACAACAGTAAATGGAAAACAAAACAAATAAATATTTTAGCATAGTTTTATGTTTCTCTTAGGCATTATACATATAGCTCCACCATTCTGGGAAAGACTTTTTTTTTTGCTGACTTCTCAGTCACTACTGAAGTCTTTGGGATTGTGTGAGTGTGTGTTCCTGTGGATTTATCAACCAGTCAATGTTGTCAGGATGTAATTTTCCTGCGGCTCCAGAGTGATTAGTCACATGACAGTTATGGCTCTGGTGATTGGCTGAAATTACCTCAGAACCGTCAAGAGCCCTCAAGCAGAGACGGCAGCACACAGGTCACATGCTTCCAGGAGGCCATTTGAGCAACTGCCACTGATATTAATGTGAATGCCCAAGGTATTATAGACCTATTTGTGTTTTACTCCAGAGAAGAAAGTTCTGACAGAGTGACATCTCTTGTAGAGGGGAACTATAAATCCCTGTGTAAATGATTTTATAACTGAAAGGGTCTTGATCTCCTACTACCTGCTGCTATATACCCTCGATCTTACAGTATGAGTATTATCTTGGTTTTGATGTGGGGAATATGGATCAGTGGAGTGGTTCCTCTGAGACCGGTCCTGGCCTCATTTCAATAAGCCTTCAATTATGCAGACTCCGTAATGAATGTGTGCAGAAGAAGCCTTTTCAATATGTGCACATGGAGGTGCTAAACACATTATATTTGCCTCATTATATTTTTATTAAACTTTATGACAGTTTAATCAGACTAGTTGCAAATGAGCAAAGTACTTGTCCTGTCTCTAGACACACAACCATCTCACGATCACAGGGAGATTAATAAATCACCCAGCAGGTGTTTGTGTGTGTGTGTGTGTGTGTGTGTGTGTGTGTGTGTGTGTGTGTGTGTGTGTGTGTGTGTGTGTGTGTTCACAAGTAAGTTTAACTTTTAATAGTGTAATTAGAGGTTGACTGAAAGTGGATTTTCCCACTACCAATATTTAAGGTGGGAAAAGAGGCCAGTAAGCTAGTTAGTTAATATGACAGTCAAAAATATAAATGAAAACTTTCCACTTAATGTAATGGTGCTAAATTTTATTACACATTTAACAAATAATGATTTATCCATGAAAATGTTTTGTAATTATTACATAAAATAAAAAAATGTTGATACACTACTGTGCGAAGGTTCGAGGTTTGTAAGACCAGTACAGTAAAACAGTAATATTGTGAAATATTATTAATATTTAAAATACCTGTCTTTTAATTGAATATATTAAAAATATATAATTTATTCCTGTGATGAAAAGCTAAATTTTCAGCAGCCATTACTACACTGATATCAATGTTGAAAACAGTTGTGCTGCTGAAGATTTTTGCGGAAACTATGAATATTTATTTATTTATTATGAAACATTTAGGATTATTTGTGAATGAGTTCAAAAGAACACCATTTATTTGAAAAATTATAATATTTTGTAATATGTTTATGGTCACCTTTGATCAATTTAATGTATCCTTGCTGAATAAAAGTATAATTTTTTTTAACCATATTGACCCCAGATTTTTGAAACATTCAAACTGTAATCTCAAAATAAAATAAAATAAAATAAAGAAGTGATATACAAAATTAATCGTAGAACACTCTAAATAGCAACAGAAAGCAACTATCTGAAGCTGGTATATTGGTTGACTCCAATAACCTTTCTCTTTGTCTTTTTGTGTTTTTAGGTCTTCGTAAATGTAAGAGTGTTGTGAAGAAGAGCCGCTCTGCCCATTCCTCCTCTCTGCTCTTCACCTCTTCACCTTTAAAACACTTTCTAGCAACCCTAAATCAGCCCTTTCTGGAGTATTGTAGAATTGGCTCTCTGATTCCCAGCTCTGGACAAAACACAGTTACTCCATCCAGCTGCCTCATTTAGATGCTCTTATACAAGTGGCTGTAAAACATATCTAAACAAAAAGGTCCAGTATTTTGTTGGTGTGGTGTGTGGTCCACGGGTTTGAGTTATTCAAGGGGAGTTCAGTTGTTGATGTTCACCGAGTTCCAGCTCTGTTTGTGTGTGTGTGTGTGTGTGTGTGTGTGTGTGTGTGTGTGTGTGTGTGTGTGTGTGTGTGAGTCTGAGGAG